CTCTCAGCAGGCCTCCGACCACCATTCAGAATGTTTCTAGACTACATCGACCGTATCCAGTACGCCGTAGTTGACGTGATCGACGAGTAAAGGTCAAAGGGACATCGGATCATCATTGGACGACAATCATCCTCCACCACTCCGGCCACCTATCCAAGAACGACGATCCTAGGTTCCTTCTTCCTCGGAGCGACCTCGATTCTAATGTAGAGACTCTTCTTCCGCTAAAGCCTAAAGTATTTGAGCGTATGGGCTCCAAAGGTGAAAGCTCTCTTTATTAAATCATGGATTCTTGTTTACTGTCGTAGCATACAATTATTCTTAGTATTTTCTTAAATTGTTTGGTTAATCGATGTCACTCTTCGTTGCCTAAACGAGTTAAAAACTAAGAGTTCTAAGGATCGCTCTTTTATTATAAATGATAATTTTATTTTGGGTTATTAAGTTACAATTGATCTCTTTAATTTCTTAAAGTAACTCCTCCATCGCATTTTGTTTCACATCAATCCAAGGATGACCTAGAAGGATTTGTCAAACATCTATAATCAGTACATCACATCAAACATTCTCTTTATAGTCAGCGAAGGAGATAGGTGTGAGGCTTCGTTCCTTCACCTCCAAGGTAGTGGAGTTGACAAAGATACCTTATATGGGTTGGGGTGAGGAACAGCAAACAAACCGAGTTTAGACACCATGCTGGAGGAGACAACATTGATGTAGCTGCCACTATCCACTATGATTTTACAGTTCTCATCCTTTATTTTGGTTTAGGTGTGAAAGATTGCAGTCCTACGCTAGTCATCAATGGCAACAGGTTGTAATAGTATGCATCTCACCACACAAATAAGAGAGATGTCTATTTTCTGTATAGAGTGTATGACAACAGTTTTGTTATCCTCCTCAAAGAATTCACCATTGTTTTCCACTTGGTGAATCTGGTTGGCCTCTAGTTCAGGTTTTTCCTCAGCAATCTCATCAATAATAGTGACTTTGTAGGGGATAAAACATTGAGAGGAGATAGAGGTATCCGGGGTGGGAGACTTGTTTCTAAAGTCAGAATGGGGTGTGGATGGACTAGAAGGTGGTCGGGCAGGGTTTCATAGGGTAGGCCGAGCAGTGGAGTGGTGAGGAGTGGGACTACCTAAAGTTTGGTAGGAAGGTCTTGAGTCTTGGTGTCGACTTGTGTGTTGGGGATGTGTTTCCTCAAGGTCTAACACTAGGCTGTAGGCATTTTGTTGAGTAGTAACGTTCTGGGATAATAGTTCGTTGCGTTGATCCTCACGCAACCCAGTACGAAACATGGACAGGATTTAGGTGGGGGTAGTAGAGGTCTCTCCCTTGCAGCGAATCAGGTAGTCATCTGAAGCTGCAATGTAATCCTTTCTGGGTTTACTACCTTGGGTTAGCCTATTCCATTTATCAAGTAGCATAAGAAAGTACGAGGGAGGTAAGTATTTCTGGTTGAGTTCACGCTTCATCAAAGACTAATCAGTGATAGGATACTCGTTTTGGGATTCTTTAGGCTCTTTAGGTTTGACCAAAATTGATTACCCCTACCAGTGAGTTTCATTTCAGTGAATCGGACTTTTCTAGCCTCATAGATGTTGTACCACTTAAAGAAACTATCTATACCCTTAATCCCGTTTAGAAAGAGCTGGGGATCGAGGGTATCAAATGTTGGAGCATCAACCTTGATATTTTTCATCAGTAGAATATCCGGGTCAAGGTTATGGTCATGTCCATATTGGGGGAGGGGGTCGATAAGGGGCACGAGGTGGTTCCTCATCTTGAAAAGTATCATCCCCGTACATGGAAGGAGGTTTAGATGGAGTGTAAAATATAGGGTGGTGCCTACCATGATCTAGGGTTTTGAATCATTCAATTGTATTTCTATAGAGTTCAGCTATGTTAGCTTTGTTCTCTTTGAGTTGTTGGCTAAAGGTGTTCATTTTACCTACCAACAAATCTAGAGTCATGTGAAGTTGTTCCGGGTCCATCCTAATATCTAGAGTGACTCAGAACTATGCAAAAGTGAAAGAAATTAACATGTAAACAAGCAAATGAAAAAAAAAGTGCAGGATGCGGTTTAGATGCTAAATATGTAAGAAAAATTTTCTTAATAGGCACCTAAATGCAACCATGCTTTGACACCAAATGATGCAGGACTTAAATGCCTAAGCGATGTTAGAAAAGAACCTTGCACAATTTAATTTAGAGAGCTTTATTAACTAAAATACTTGTAGTTATTAAACGATGAAATAAAACAAGAAAGAGATGAGACTAGCTCAGACCAAGTCACACGACTAGAGGTTAGGATCACAAACTAATCAATGGTTCAAAACATAACAAACATGAAAGATTTTCAACAAGAAATCCATACACTAACAATGAGATTATTTGCTATGAAGAGTCCTTCACTCACTTTCTAAATTACTAGGCTCAGTGGAGATACTTAACACGATCTTAATGAATTAATTAAAACCACAAGTTGGGGGTAAGATTTAGATAGGAAAAGATTTAGGGGAAAGATTCACCTTGCTTAGGATTTGGAGAGAATCTGCCATTGGACAGAAGAAAGTTGCTCGTCAATAGCTTTAGCGAGGGTGAAGACAATCCTCTCCATGTAATCTTCTATGGCTTGTTCAAGGTTGAGGTTGAGGTCGAAGAAAGGGGAGTTGAGGATGTTGACTTGGCCTTGATCGTTGTAAACGAATATGTGATCAAGTTCTGGATCTGCCATGCATTAGGTAGAGAAGTTTGAAAGCTGTGGGAGGGAAAGTGGTGTGATTTCTTATGTCTTCCCTAGGTGAAGCTTCAAGCCAACAATAGTGATGACAAGGGGAGGTGGGTGCTCTGCCAAGACTAGGAGAAGAAAGCTTCTTCCAAAAATCTAAAATTGAATTTCAGATTTAAGTGAGAGAGGATTAGGGTTTTGAAATTTGAATTTCAAGTAAGGGGAAAGAGGGAAAATTATTCCCTAATGAGAGACTAGACTGATGTCCCTAGAAGGAGAGTAGTTAATGTGGGAGAGAGAGAGAGAGGGGGGATAAGGAAGGGGGCGGCAGCATGAGCATGTGGGATAGGGCTTAGGGAAAGGAATTAAAGCTTGCTTTCATGCAAGTGTTTTTACAAGCTATGCAAAGTGTCATATTTTGATATTTGCAAAGGACATAATTTTGATTGATGGGATACTTTTAGAAGTGATTAAAAGATTTAAGATTAGTAGAAAAGGTATTGAATACATGATATTCAATATCATTATTAATCAATATTAATAGAAGATCAAGTACTACCTAGTAGTGTAATCCAAGCTTATTGGATCTATTTTATGAAAAAATGCCAATATAGATATGGACGTAACTTATAAGAGTATAAGGAGAAATGTTTCAAGAGTAGTATGAGAAGTGTATCATTGAGAGTTAAGGTAAATTTAATAAAAAATTTTGTTAGATGAACAATATTCTATATGCATCTGAATGTTGTGAAAATGAGTTACATCCAAAAGTTGAGTGGGGGAAGTATGGTGTCATGTTGAGTGTGGAGCAAGTAAGGTGTTAAGATGAATGTGTGTTCACCTTAGAGAGAATTAAGTAATAAATAATTATAATAGAAATATTGAGAGTAGCACCTCTTGAAGATAAGTTGGTGAAAAATAGACTAAAGTGATCTGGCCAAATATAAATGAAGAAAAGATATCCCAATATGGCATATAAGCAGTGATAATATTGAAGGATTATGAGGAAGAAGGGGTAAAAGACTAAATGTAACACATGTAGAAGTGCCAAAGAATTGTGGAATATAGTTTTGAACTCGAGCTGCACTCAACATGGAGTTGAGGATTCATAAATCTGATATAAAATAATTGACCGTCGAATTTTTTACTTGCAGGTCGTAGTGTTGCTTTTCCAGGTTATCCATTGGGTTCTGGTTTGACACCTGCTGCTGCAAATGTAAGTATGGTTTTTGTTTTTGTATGTATCAATTTACATTGGTTTTGATATAGTGCAGTGTCTTGAAATCGATCTATGTACACCAACTTAAATATTTTACTAAAAACTTGTCAAAAATATAGGAAGCTTGATTACAATTTATATGTATGGCTGTTGTATGTATGTTGTTTTTCCTTTGACTGTTTTCTATAAGTTTGAAAGGCCACTTTCAGGAGTTAGGCCTGCTGACTGGAACGCCTGTGGGAACTTCACTGATTGATGCACATGCTGGTGGTGTTGGTGTTATGAACAGTTTGCCTGATGCAGATTTCCAGTCTGGTCTGTTAACTTTCAGTTCTTGAAATTAAAATTAATAAAATTCATTGTTACAACTGTGTAATGCAAGAAGTCAATCTTATTGGATGGAGTCCATGTTCTGCAGCTGATAAGACAGATATAAGCCGTCGCTTGGTATTAGTTTGTGGGACATCTACTTGCCATATGGCCGTCTCAAAAGATAGATTATTCATTCCAGGGGTGTGGGGACCGTTCTGGTCAGGTATATTAATGTTACTTCTGATTTTAGACCCAAAATTGTTCATCAGAACTTCAACATATTTTGTTTTCAGGTTCTTTAATTATGTAGTCTTTTATTGGCCTAAGATTGTCAGTTCGTTCGGTTAACACTACCACATTTTGTGTTTGTATAGCAATGATACCTGAGTACTGGCTTACAGAAGGTGGACAAAGTGCAACTGGAGCATTGCTAGATCATATTGTTGAGAACCATGTTGTTGCCCCTCTTCTTGCTAATAGGGCTGCTTCGCAAGGTATACTTTTTTTCTTTCAACTTGAGGAATGCATATTAGAAGTTAGAAATTTTTCCAGGGCGGATTCTCTTTTTTAATGGGTGAACTTGCATTTGTTATTAATAATTTCTTCAAAAATTCAATAAGCTTGATAACAGTCTCTGTTTTTCACTGACTAGGTAAATCTGTGTATGAATTGTTGAACAATATCCTGGAATCAATGGTGCAGGAGCTAGAGGTTCCATTTCTTGCTGCATTGACTGAAGAGATACATGTGCTTCCCGATTTCCATGGAAACAGGTATGACATAGTGAGATGGTTTTACTGTGAGAAAGAATTATATAGTGCTTTTCTGAATCTGATTGTATTTGTTAATTCTGATTATATAAGTTAGATTTTTTTCCCAGTAAGATTTGGCTGTTTATTTAAACCTTTTATTTTTCTTTGTAAATTCAAGTTTTTTTATTTATTTGTCCATTACAGCTTATGTTTTGGTGTGTGGAATACTCACATTAAGATGGCTTGCTACTTTTATCTGCTTATGTAAAAAAAGAGGTGGGGGGGGGATTTGAGTCTACCTTAGTTGAGAGAGAGATTTATACCCTATCAATTACATCCTTTTTATCTATTACTTAAAGATATTAAATAAACTTATTTATTTCCATTTGAAAATATTCATGATCCACACCACTGGGTTTAAACATGCCTCAAATCTAGCAATATCCGTGGGCTCCGAAAATTTGTGCTCTGGCCTCTCCACGCCCTTTTTTATCGACGGGAAAGTTTTAATAAGATTAGGTTCCATAGTAAATTTTTTGAAGACAGATTGAATTTTAGAAGAGGTAGTCGATCCAATTTGATCTAAGGATCCTTGTTGGCAGCCATGAGTTACTTTATCCAAAGAAATCTTATATATTTGAGATAAATGTTTGTGTAAGAAGATAGATTTGAGTCTACCTTAGTTGAGAGAGAGATTTATACCCTATCAATTACATCCTTTTTATCTATTACTTAAAGATATTAACTATTAGGAAACATTCGGGCTTTAGCCATGACTGCAATATGGTGGAGTCATTGGGCCAAACCTGTCACGCCCCAAGATCTAACTTGGAAAGAATTATTCAATCTATCCATTTAGAAATCTTACCAGAGTTATCTATAGTCTTCAAACAGTAACAAACAATCTAACAAAATTTCTATAATTTAAAACATCAATGTATAATTCTATTCATATCTCAAAAGATCATATACAATACTCAGGATCTGCACAAGGATCACATGAAATGAAATCTATCCTGTCTTGAGTACAAAAGAATCACTATAACCAAAAAAAACAAAACCTGAGGATTCCTGATCAACCTCAATCTCCTGCTCCTTGCCCTGACCTGAAAATATTAACCACATATAATGAGCTTCAAAAAGCCCAGCAGGTCACCTAATACCTATAACTGAAATCAAAGCACAGTACGGCAACAATATGCATGTCAATCAGTCAAATCATAGCAGTCAGTTCCACATGATCATTGATTCAATGCAGATACGAAAATCAATGCATGAATAGTAATCAGTACAGTAACAATAAGAAACAATAAACTCCTAAATCCACAGTAGAAAAATCAATAAACAGTTCAAAGGTCCGTAAAGCTCAATAAATCAATGCATACGTCAATCTCTATAGAAATCAGTCAATCAGGCAATAAATCATAATAACATTTAAAACAGTTAGAATCAATCAATGCCGTAAAACCGTATCAAAATGTACATTTGCAATTCAGTACAGTGAATCAATAGTATCAGTTCCAGTATCAGTAATAGTAGTGACATGAACAGTAATGCTATAACAGTGAAATCATACATTAATAGTAAATCCGTACAGTAGCAATAAATCCATCAATAAATCATAATGAGATCATAAGAACAGTACTGTACACATGCAATTCAATACAATAGTCTTACTGAACAAGTA